ATGGATAAAAGAACAGATGTTGTCATAGACTATTAGCATTTCCTAAGGAATTTTAACTGATCTAAATCAGTCACCACAATGAGACCAATAAACTCCATGAGCCAAGAAATATTTGATCCAAGAAGATAAGTGGTGGCCAAGGCAACCCTGGTTTATAATATAATCTCATATTTTTATATCTTAATAAGCAGGGATAGTGGAAAATTATAGGCAGTATCAGCTCATAAAATAAAAAGAAGAAGGAGTGGAGGAAAGAAGAAGCAAGTTTATAGAAAGTTTGATGAAAAACCCAACAAAGACAAATCCTCTCAAAGGCAGTTAGTGATTAAGCTGGAATGAGAAGAGTAAATATAAAAAAAAATCAAGATCTGTAAAAATAAATGTCTGTAGCAAACTATTTTCCACATTAATGGAGCTACCCTAACATCAGTATCCACTTTGCTTCATGAGGAAGTGCTCCAAGAAGTCTAGAGAAAGGTTCTAAGTACAATGGGAGCTGATTAAGCCGATCCCCTCCCTTCTTCTTATTTATATGAGGACATGAATAAAAGACACATAGGATGAGAAAACCTAACTGGATTATGATCTGTTCCATGGAAAAAAGTACTCCCACCAATGAAGTTACAGATCCACTGAAATTCATTAAATTGCCAAATGTTTATTGTTTTAAACTATGGGTCTAAATAGTAAGCATAGATAGAATACCACTGACGGCTAGTAGTTTTAATCAGTAATCATTTTGTCCCAATGAGCTATGTAATATGATTGAAGATTCAAAATGATCTAAAAATTCTGATTAGAACTAACAGCTATCTTATATCTGCTCAAAAGAAGTTCTGGCTGGAAAACAATTTCTAAGTTAATTTTGCAACTATATGATTACAGAGGTTTTATAGGATCTATAAACTGTCAACAACTGTGTTGCAGTTATTTCAAAATGGCAAATAAGAAGAATTTCACAAACTCGTAGAATGAAAGAGCAATAAGGGACCCCAGAGGCCATGAAACACAACCTTCACTTCAACAAGAATCACTTCTACAGTATATCTGAAAAATGGTCATCCAGCATCTACCTGAAGATCCCCACAGAGGATGAACCCACTACCTCCTCAGGAATCTCATTCCACTTGTAGATATCTCTTATTGATAAGAAGTTTTATCACACAACCAATCAATACACAAGTAATTATTGAGTGCCTCCTATGTATCAAGCACTAGGAATACAAATAAAATAACTGAGCCTCTTCTTGTTTTTACACATTAATCCTAGTTCTATCCTCTGGGTCCAAACAAACAAGTATATGACTTATGTAAAGCACTTTGTAAACCTTAAAGTTCTATATACATGTTAGCTATTATTATTTAAAGGCAGCTAAAAAGCACAAAGATAGAGTGCTGGCCCTGGAATCAGAATGATCTGAGTTCAAATTTGACTTCAGACATTGTATGACCCTGGACAAGTCATTTAACCTGTCTGCCTCAGTTTCCTCATCTATAAAATGGGGATAATAATAGCACCCATCTCCCAGGGTTATTGTGAGGACAAAATGGGATAATAGTTGTAAAACACTTTATAAGCCTTAGAGCACTTTGTAAATACTAGTCGATATTATTGTGATTATTATTTTACATGAGAGACTTTCACATCCTTGAAGATACCTCTCATGTCCCCCCCCCAATATTTCTCTTCTCCAAGGTAAACATCCCTAATTCCTTTGAGAGATCTTTGTATGGCATGTCCTTTCTCCATCCTCTTCTAGACAAGTTCCAGCTATCCCAAAATGTTCCCAGAACTGGATGCAATACCCCTCCTAGTCCACACACTGTTAGAAGCATACCTTCCCCAGTACAAGAAAAGCAAGACACAAATCTGTGAGCTGCTCTGTTCTTAGCAGAGAAAGAGAGTATGTTTCAGCAGTCCAGAAAGCTGAACCTCTATTACTACAATATAATGCTTCTGCTCCAGTTTCATTATGTATTTATCAAGCTCCTTCTTCAATTCTTCCTTCTACTCAGGTGAGCTATAAACTGTAGCCTTACTACAAACTACCCCTAACAGCTGTTCTCCAAGTATGGTCCAAGAACCTCTGGGGACCCTCAAGAAATTTCAGATGGTTCAGAAGGTCAATACTATTTTCATAATAATATTGCCATTTTATTTTTAACACAGTAAATATTAATAGATATAACCCATATAAACAAAGGCTCAGTAATTTTTAACAGTATAAAAGGGTCCTGAGACCAAAACGTTTGAGAACTACTACTGTACAACAATATACACAATATTTCCATGTCCACTGATTTACACCTAACTGTCTCTGACATGGATCTCTGTCTTCAAATAAGCATGAATAGATGAATTTATCAATTAAAAAGCATTTATTATTAAGCCCTTACTATGTGCCAAACATTTTGATAAGCTTTGGAGTTAGAAATGCAAAAACAAAGACTACAGTCCTTGCCTCAAAGTACTTATGTTCTATTTTTTTTTTTGAGGCAATCAGGGTTAAGTGACTTGCCCAGGATCATACAGCTAGTAAGTGTCTGAGGCCAGATTTGACCTGAGGTCCTCCTGACCTCAGGGGCAGTGCTCTATCCACTTCACTACTTAGCTGCCCCTAAGAACTTGAATCCTAAGAGGAAGGTAATATGTATGAGCAAGGGTATGCTGGTAAATGTTTAACAACCAGTTTTCCAAAAACGAAAATGTACCTAGGATATACTTAAATACAAGTCTAATCTGCAGTATGAACATTTTCTTTGACTCTGGCCCTTCTCCATCTCTCACCTTGCTCTTTCTTTGGAGTCATTGGGAATTAGATTAACATACCCTTTTGAGAAGCAAAGATTTGATCGTGGTTCCAGAAAAAGAATCATGGACATATAAGGTGGAGGACATGCATTCAGCAAAGCAGCCGATGGAAAGATGTCCAGGGATTGAGATGAGGCAAGGCTGTGTCCAAACCTAGATATAGTGACTGACATGAGGCACCCACCAATCAGGATACTAGGGTCCCAGGTGAAAAGTTAAGTCCTCTAGGACATGGTACCTTATCTTGGTGGCAGAATGAGAATAAGGCCAGGGGATGACATGATTGGTTAAAACTTGACCTAGATGTAATGAGTGCAGCACGAGGAGCCACCAGTCAGAGTAGTTAGGCCACTTGACTGGAATGAAAAGAAGATAGATAGATAGATAGATAGATAGATAGATAGATAGATAGATAGATAATTTGTTCCTTTCTAGGGCATTCCATTCCCTGCCAAAAGTCAGCATTAAAACATAATGCTATGTTTTAAACCTAGTCCACAAATCCAAATCTCATTTTCTCAACATTTAAATTAATTGGGTAGTGTCAGGTACCTTTACCAAACATATAATACATAATTATAAAGAAGCAAAAGTGTGGAATATCTATTTTTTATAATTTTTTTGGCTAGACAATAAAGTTAAGTGACTTGCCCAGGGTCACAGCTAGTAAGTGTCAAGTGTCTGAGGCCGGATTTGAACTCAGGTCCTCCTGACTCCAGGGCCGGTGTGCTCTATCCACTGTTCCATCTAGCTGCCCTGGAATATCTAAAATTAAAGAACATGTGGAATTATTTGAAACTGCTATAACAGCTCCAGAAGTGTAGGCCTGTAGAAGTACCATAAGCAAAGACCATCTATCTATTTCTCTATTTCTCTATCTATCTATCTATCTATCTATCTATCTATCTATCTATCTATCTGTATGTATGTATGCAATTATGCATGTATTTGTTATATAATTATATATTATATATTTATGTATTTTGTTAATAATAATGGTAATGTTCAGTAAGATACCTGTGGCTTTATCTGTGTGTATGTGTGTGCATGTGTGCTCCCTCCACTGATGCAAATCACAAACCTTCCATAGAATGATTAACCTGTTTTATGTCATGGACCCCTTTGTCAGGCTGGTAAAACTTATGGACCCCTTTTCCAAAAAAAAATAATATTCTAAATACATAAAATACAAACCATAGAATTACAAAGGAAACACAATGTGTTAAAATATAGTTATCAAAGTATTTTCTTAAAATTCATGGATCCCAGGTTATAAACTCATACTCTATGCCTTAATAAAAATTATCATGAGTTGTTGAGGCCAAAAAATTTTATTGCCTGATGGTTAACTCTCTTGATGAGCCATTACAAACTTAGTGAACCGGGTCCCTTAAATAACAGGCACAGAATCTCTCAGTCTATACTTGAAGCTTTTCTAGCTTGGTGGAGCCTTAAAGAACTGGGACTCCATTATCAGAGATACCAATCAATCAACAAAAATTTATTAAGCACCTACTAGGTGACAAGCACTTTGTTGGGTGACAAAAAAACAAAAGTCACTTCGATTTCATGATGAAGCATCAAAATAGGACTAGAATGGAGAAATAATGGTGATTATAGTGATGAAATAAAGAAGTTAGCAAAATCCATTTTCCCTGAATCAGAAGTTAGCAACCTATGGTCCACATGAACCATGCAAAAACAGGAAACAGGCAATATAGTTTGTGGATCCCTGCTCTAAATCATTCAAGGAGCCATTCACTGTTGTCTTTAGATGCCCATCATATTCCAAGTTTTGTCTTTATGATATCATGAAGTAAGATTCCTCAGCATGCCCTTTTCATCTGTGGTGACAAGCTAAGGTAGCCATTCACTTCATTGTTGGTCAATATAATTCAAAGATCAAAATAATTGGTATGTCCAGTGATGTGAATCATGACTAATAAATAATTGGCTTCCAAATGACCATACATTTGTTGAAGAAGCTCAGCCACAGAATTAATCTTTTGTTTATTTCTCAGTTGTATCTTATAGATGAAACTTATGAGGAATATCAAGAATGTTGATTCTAAGAAGCAGTCTCCTTAAAGTAATGGTTTTAGATTGGCTGTAATCTCTATAGAGAATTGGTCATTATTTAGATTACATTAAATCAAATGAGAGTTTTATTTTTTTTCTTTCTTTGCAGGGGCGGGATGGTTCAGACAAGTGAACAATATGAATTTGTTCATCATGCACTGAGTCTCTATGAAAGCAGGCTGTCTGCAGAAGCTGTCCAGTGAAATGTTGAAGATTCAGTCCAATGACAGTCTCTCAAGAGAATTCAATGTGTTGCCTACCAGTGGCTTCTTCCAGGAGATTCTTGGGATGGAAAACAACAACAATGGAAAGCTTGAAAGCCAGCCTGTGATGTGGATTATGGAAGACTTGAAAAATTATGTAAAGATTACCAGACCTTGCCTGTATATGAATGTATTTGTAAGCTGCCCAAAAATGATTTTAAAGAGGGTATTATGTTGATGGGGTAATGGATTTCACATACATCCTCAAGAAGGACATTTTCTGTGATGGCTCTCTGCCGTACAGAATGTATGTGTGTAATTCTGCTGAAGTCAGTTGACTATTGAAATATCCCCTGAAGAAATGATTATTGAGTGTATAGTTGCTTTAAAGTTTGCAGAAATTTGTCTTGTGAATGGACTATCAGCTGTTAAACTGTACTTGTCTTAAGTGCTATTATTATAATTATTATTATTATTATTGTTATTATTATTATGTGGTGAGCTCCTTCTCCAGCCACCAGAATCTTGCTGCTAAAGTTGCAAGTGAAAGACAATGGATTTTTCATAGAGAAGTACTCATTTTTGAAAAAAAAAACATCAAAAGCAGTAACTTTTATATGAAAATGTGTTCTTGAGAATCTTATGTATTAAGTATGTATTTATAGTAGCTCCTATCAATCTATTACAGAGCACAATGTTTGTCATTTGGGGTATGTGTGTGTGTGTGTGTGTGTGTATTTAATTATTCTATACTATTGTCTTAGAAGGCTGCTTCTGCTCCAAAGTTCAATCCAGTGTGTTTGTAAATTGTGAGTCCTTTTACTTTTAAAGAAAACTTTGTAGATTCTGAAATACCAAGAGTTTTAAATACACATCAGTCTTTTACTAAGAGGGAATTTTTGAAAATGCTGTCGACCCATAGCCTTTCTCTCTCTTCCTAATAAGCAATGGATGACCTTGGGAATAGTGCAAACTGCTCTTCTGAAGGAGGCTGCTGGGGACAATCCTATTTCTATAGAGATCTCGAAGAGATATATGGAGCAGCTGTAACTATGTTCAGCAAGCACTCTTGTGACCTGTTCAGAGAATATATGAGTTATCAATGCAGTGATGATGTTGATTTTGCTTCATACTGCCAATAAACTCACTTGATACTAAATATTGAGTGGATCATTTACATTCCTCCACCCCCAAACCCAAGAAAGAGACCATTTTCATTATTAGAAGCGCAGGGTGGGCAAATATCACCCTACATGACCTGTTTCACTTCAGTTTCACTAGTTCTAATTCTATCTGTTAGAGTTTTCAATCGCCTAATGTACAATTTTCAGAAGAGATAATGAACTGAAAATAAGGACCATTACCATATGATTTTTTCCCTTGATAAGTTGCTAGTCTATCATTATCCAAACAGTCCATATTGGTAGTTTTCTATCACTTGTCATAGATCCTCATAAATTATATGATTTGTGTTTATTCAGTGAATCCACATCACCTGCAGAGATGTAATGTTAGATGAACATTCATCTAATTTGGGGAGATTATAGTCTTTTCCTTCATTAGCTCTTTAGGTAAAAGGGAATCCATCTGTCAAAATGACTTTGGGTGCAGACTCAGTAGTTTGTCTATTCCTCATGTCTGGAATTTCTTTTTTGTCTGCATAAAAAAGGGGATAGTTATAGTTCACTCCATTCTAAGGAAACAGACGAAAGGACAATCTGGTATAAAACTCCCCCAAACAATTGAATAGAAGGAAGTGCTCGTCACTGACTTTCCCCCCCCACCATGAAGGCACATTTCCTTCCTAGCCTTTGCTTCTCTTATCTGGGAGGATTTTTCTCCCCCCCCAAGCGAAGCATGAAGAGTTGTTAAGTCGAAAATGGAGCCTATATTTTGCATGCTGATTTTTACCTGCATGATCTTTGGAAATTCAGGTAAGTGAAATTACTCTCTAAGCCTCAGAGGCATTTCTTCTACATCCAGCTGAGGGTGCCCTGGGCTTTTAAAAATGTCTGAAATATGACGGAAATGGAGCCTGTTCTCTTCATTTTATCCAGGGACAATGAGGAAAGGGGCTGAAAAGGGCCAAGTATGCCAGTCCTGTTTAGATTTCTTTCCAAAAGAAAATAAATTTTCTGCTTGAGTTTCATATAAACTTTCTATCTCCTCCAGAAAGTTATGGTAATAGCATAACAGTGTGCTAAAACACTTTGAGGAGATATTGTTAATATTTATTAACATTCTGTAGCCTGTTCCAATGTTTGGAGAATTCTTCTTAAGACCTGGCTACACTTAATGGTAAGAAACTTTAAAATATAATTAAAGGGAATATAGTAATTGTACTTTATTTGGGAAGGCTAGAGATTTGGCCAAATGGGGGAGGGGTGCTGGGATAGTGAGGAAGACAGCATTGAAAATTTTTTTGATTATGAATCTATGTGCAAGTGTCCAATTTTAACTGCCCTGTTTTTATATAATTACACAGGGGGAAAATACTAATTTTTCTACTTCATGTGAATTAGTGTTTTAGGGAATATGTATAGAGATTGTAAAAAAAAAAGAAGCAGAAATGTGATTGAGCTGCTATAAATATGCTATAAAACACTCTATAAGAAAAACTATCCCTGGGCTAATCAATAATTCATTAATTAACCAGGGTGCTGAGCCTTTTAAAAGAAGGCAAATTTGACAATGTTTATTTTTCCACCACTTCCCTAACTCAATATATATTAAAATAATTTTCTACGTGGAGATATACGAATTGAGGGAAAAAATTGCTTCTCTGGAGTGGGGAAAAGGGATAGGATGGAGAGAGTAGATGTATTTAGTGAAAAAGAAACATGGATTTTCCCAAATTTCCATATACTGAATCAAGCTAAAGAGTCAAACTAAATTCTTTAGGTGATTTGTTTTTCTTCAAGTTTCATTTCATCATTGTGTTAGAAAAAAAAAACAGCACATATTTTCTTTCCTTTCATGGTAATAAGCTGGATAAAAGTAAAATGAAGGAGAATTAATGAGACCTCTTGTCATTTTAAAAAGACAGTTTTGTGATAAACCATTTCAGCTAATTCTGAGTATATGCACTGAAATAACACAGAAGAAATTTTTCTATTTTTTAATATTTTCATTCGGGGGTTTATGCATTATTTTAAGTGGGCCAAGTGTTTATTATATTTTTATGAGATTTTCCACCTTCCAGAGGGTTTTCAGATTATCCACATCCAGAAACAACAATGCCTTTTCGAAAGTAAGAGAGTATCATCTGTGGCCATATGCAATGAAACCAATCAAAACCAGCAGTGGATGTGGACAGATGATGAAAAACTTCTCCATGTTAAATCTTCCCAGTGTCTGGGTGTCTCCAACTCCTCAGCTTCCCATTCTCGAGCTGCCATCTTCCTCAACTGCTCTCAGGCTCCCACTTGGACTTGCCATGAGAAAGAAGGGTTCCTTGAGGTGACAAATTCTTCTTTCTTCCTCAAGAAACAAGGCAACAGGGTAGTGGTCAAGAGGGGCAGGAAATACCTCCACAGCTGGATGAAAATAGACATCAACAAGAAGGGAGAATCTACCAATGAAAGTCTCTGCTTAAAGAAAGGTGAGCCACTCCTTTAAGGATGGATCTTTAAAGTTATAGTAAATGTCTTTTTTTAAATGCAAGAAAACTCTATGGGTTTTGATCTAATTAGTAGGAGATTCATATTAACCAAGCTTATCGTAGTAAAGATAAGTCACAATCAAAGCTTTAATGGAGTCAGAATTTTCAAGAATATAGGCCAAATTTTTCTTTCATAAGAAAAAAAAAGAACATATTTATAGTGTGCATGTATGTTTGTATGTATATATGTAAATGTCTGGATGTAAATGAACCATGGCTAAAGGCCATCAACCATCAATCTTTGCTGAGAAAGATAGATATGTGTATGTATGTGTATATATGTTATATTATATATTCACACATAGGTGTGTGAGAGATTATACATGAGCTATATATACACATATATGTGTAAAATGTGTGAATATACATAAACTGTGGCCAAAGTCCATCAACCATCAATCTATCTTGAGGAAATGAAAAGACTGTGTCTGGGTTGATACTTCTATTCTCAGTCTTACAGGCTATTTATTTAACTGATGGCTACTGTCCTCATTAGAATCACCCAGAACATCAAAAGAGTATTTGTGAAGCTTGACAAAATGATAAATTATGTTTTTGTGGTATTCTCTTGTTCAGTAGTCTTAAATATGCCTTTAATAATAAATAGTTGAATAATTAAATGCTTAGGATGAGAATAGAAAAGATACTGTTAATCAAAGTCCACTAAATTGATGATCTAGGTATAAACATATCTAAATACTTATGGGCACACAATCCCACACATGTGCACACCATATATCTATACACACTGAGAATGAGTGTAATTTAGGACTGAATTTTCTCACTGTCGTTTATGCTGGGCTGGATTTAATGGCTTCTGAAATCTCTTCTAGCTCTAAATCTTGATCCTATGACCCATTTTTTTATGTATCACCTCATTTCCATCACACAACAAGCATTTATTAAGTACCTAATATATGCATAGCATTGTACTAGCCAATTGAATTCTCCATATCCATAAGGTATTGTAAACAACCACAGCTCCAATTGACTTTATTAAAGTAGATTTTAAAAAACACCTAATTACTGAAAAACTGTCAAGAATAGTTAGGTTTAAAAGGGAAAAGAGATGGGCTAGCTTATAGAGTAAAAATGGATAGTTCAAGAATGGGAAGAAAACCTTTCATGTATTGGGTGAATCCTCTATAGAGACCTGATCTCAGAGAGTACGGATGAGAATTATGCAAAATGAAAAAGCATAGAGGAGTTGTCTGCACTGCTAGAGGGTGAACCCACACAAAAGAGAGTAAGGTATTAGAGAAATATCAAATGACTGACACTGACTTGATCCAACTGGTATTCATTTTGCCCTTTTATTCTCTCCATGTTGATAGAGAACAAAGTACATTGGTTAGAACTCCAAACTGTATCATTCAAATCAAAATATAGACTGTATTTGGTAAGGAGAATAAAGAGGTTCATTAAATTTCCCTCAATCACCCTTATGATTCAGTGAAAGATGCAAAATAAGTCCTACCTTTTATGCTTTATTGAAGGTTTCCTATTTCTTGACAACCCTTATGAAAATATACTTCTTGTATAACCAAAGGTACACCATGAAAGGACATTGCCCAGTCACAGTCACCTGAAATATGTTTGTAACATTTATACTTTAGAGAGAGAGAGAGATCACATTGCTTGCTTAGAGAAAAGTTGAGACTGGTTAACCAATCTCTAACTCTCTGAAGTTTAAATACCACCTTAGATAATGTAGTGAATGTTTACATTTTGGAAAAAGGAAGAAGTGTTTCTAATATACAGAATTCTTTTTTTTCAATCATCCTTTTCAATTAATTAAAAATAATAAGGGCACCACAGCTGTTTTTCTGTGATAACTGAGACTGTGTCCTCAAAATGCCAAAACATGTGGATGAAAAGTGGGACATTCAGTCAATCATTTGAATTCCCTGTCAACATGATGACAAACATCTGGGTATTTGGAAACACCCAGATGTTTGGCATTGTACCAATACTCAAGTGATTGCCTGGATTTTTAACTTTTCATCTACATTTACTGGCATTGTATGAACACAGCCTTAGTGGTATCATAGTAAAAGTGAGGTCTAGTAAAATAAAATTAGCTTTCTATCTCTTAGTATAGACTCTTAAATAACCATAATTAAGAATATTGTGGTCAATATGTTATACTATGAAAAGGAAAAAGTTAAAAAGTATAAACTTTTGATTAATATTTCATTTAGGTAGTTACCCCTCTCCCTAGGCTTTTAAGGTAATACAAAGTGTTAAACATCAGGACTGAAGAAATTAGCAGGAGAAAGCTGTTTTAGACCCCAGCCTTGCCATTGGAAAACAAAAGCAATTGGCTAATCTTTCACTTCTAACCCAACCAAATGCAATTTTTAAAACCACTAGACCATGAAAAAAAATATCATAATGTGATCTCAAGAGGCAGCAATCTCATAAGTCTGATGGCTTCTGCTAGAATATTATAATTAAACATCTCATATAGGGAAAATATCCACTTTTTTATAGGGGCAGGAATGGTAATATCGGGGCAGGGAAATTTACGCTTTTGATTTTATCTGTGTAAGCAACCTCTAGTATAAGAACTTCTTCCATTGATGAAGAAACTCAGTTGCTTTGTAACTTGGAATTTTAGAGAATGACATAAGGCACTGAGAGGTTAAATGATGTGTCCCCATTGTCACACCACTAGTATGTGTGCATGATGTGAACCCAATGCTAAGGCCCTCTGTCTACCCATTATCTATCTTTCTCATCTGAATTAATCCAGCACAACTGGATGCAACTCAGTTTCAAAATCTCTTCTTTGCCAAGTTCAATCTATCCAAAAAAGATCAGGAAACCTATAAATGACAGTGTCTACTTCACTTGATCCCATGAATTATAACTGAGGCTTTGGTTGGTTCTGCTGAGATCATGTAGACTCAGGCTTATGGCGGGGCCATATGGTTGGAAGAAAAAAACTCATTCCTTGCCATGCAAGTCTATACGGGGGTTCTACTTTGTGGAATCATGGCTCAAGGGAATTAGAACTGAAAGAGGCCATAGACATCATCTACTCCAGTGGTTTTGAGCTCCAGTTGAAAGGGATTCCTGCGGGCTAGTATTGACTTAGAAAACTACATATTGGCATTATCTATATTCTATTGTATTTCTATGCATTTTGTGAAACATTTCCCAAATACGTTTTAGTCTGGTCCCAACTCCACTCTGGAGCTTTATAATCACAATGAGTTTGACACCTCAGATCTACTAGTCCAACATCTTTATTTTATAGATGAGGAAAAAGAAGCTCAGGAGGGGAATTGATTTACTGAAAGGTCACACAGGTAGTAGAACCCAGATATTCTTATCCTAAATACAGTACTCTTCCATTACATAATGCTTCTGTACTAAAGGAATACCTCATCATTGTATTGAAATATGGTGCTTTATCATCTGAGCTATATGTGACATTGACTTGCAAGTGAAACCCAAATGAATCAGTTCACTTAAAACCCATTTTCAACAATATCAGGAGGGAAAAAGATAAATTAGAAGCCCTTTTGGAAAAAATCATGCCAATTCAATACCAAATATCTAGGTATATAGGGGGGAAATGTCCATTTTCCAAATGTATTGTGTATATGATACCAGGCATCCATGGAGATAAAAAAGTAGATGATTAACTAAATGTTTACACTTGGGAGCCAGCTATTTGGCAGTTGGTACGTAGGGCTGGTGTTATTTGAATATCCCCATTGTCATTTAGCCCAACTCCTATCTAAAACCTAACTTCTTCTTCAGCAACAACCAAAAATTATTATTCAGACTCTGTTTAAAAACTTTCATGACCAAGAGCTCACTACCAGTCAAACAACTGACATTTATTGTTTGAGAGAGTGCTGCGTCACACATAGCATGCCAAATTTGGTGATCTGGGTTCATAGACCTTCTCTGGCACTAACTCTGTGACTATGAGAAAGTTAGTTATTGTTTTTGAGCTTTAGTTTTCCCATCTATAGAATGGGATAATAAACCTATTGTATCTACTTTGCGGTATTGTGGTTAAGCTCAAGTGTGATAACCTACATAAAACATGCTAACTTATAATTATATGTGTGTGGGTACCCTTCCACATCATGGGGATCAGGGTGGGATGCAGGTGCCCCTGCAATCTGGAAAATCTGCATAAAATTTTTTGGCTCCCCCTTCATACCAGAGAAGAAATCTGAGTTATTATGGTATTAAAAGATAAAATATGTTGATATTATATAACATTCAACCTTTATTTTATGCATTTCTGAATTTCTGAACTTTTTGTATGTTGTCTGTTGGCCTTCATGCATTGCCTGTAGCTTCCACAAAACTGCAAAAAAAAAAATCCCATTTAATTTATTTTTTTTTTGGTAAGGCAATTGGGGTTAAGTGACTTGCCCAAGGTCACACAGCTAGTATGTGTCAAGTGTTTGGTCTGAGGCCGGATTTGAAGTCAGGTCCTCCTGACTTCAGGGCCAGTGCTCTCTCTACTGTGCCACCTAGCTGTCCCCCATTTAATTTCTTACGCCGACCCATGATGTATCAAAACCGTGATGGGGAAAGTGAGGATGTGGAAGGGATAACTCTGTATGTGTGTATATGTGTATGTATGTGTGTGTATACAAACATACATATATGCATACATGTATGCATATAAATATGTATATATTGTGTATTGTTGTTTTAATCAATGCCTCCTGAAGCTGCTTGCATCTTTAATTTTATATTTTCTGATCAGGGGCAATTTTTCAACTATTTCAAATATTTTGTTGAACTAATAAAACATTTTGCTGGGGGACTGTTCAGTTTAGTACATAGACCATAATTGCATAACTACTACTTTATTTTATTTTTCATCTATATTCACTTTATTAGGAAATTAAAACCTTTTCCATAATGGAACATTAAATCAGTCATATGTTAAGAGGGAGAATTTT